GGGGATTGGGGAGGCGGGGTTACCAGTAAGGATACGATTGGGATCTCTAAAGGTGAAATTAGTATATCGTGAGCGAATTGAATAACGGTGATGAATGTCGAGACGAGACTTACTGCCAGCATTGAGTCTTTTCATAACCGTTATAGCTTTCGACAGCGCTAGCGGGGCCAACGGTGAATGGATAGGCATCCTTCACATAGACAAAGATTGCATCGGGTCCTCCACATTGTTGAGAAGAGTCACCAGAGCAAGCCATGCTGCAAAGTGAAGCAGACGCTGGACGATTGTTGCCAAAGACGGTATTACCGCAGTCTGTCCGGTCCCATGTGATTATGTAGTCTATGAAGAAATATGAAACACTTACAGCACTCGCGGCCATATTCGACACCGGCGAGGTTGAATCCTTGAGACTCGCACAGAGATTGGCATTTGGCGGGGGTGAGGTCGTCGTAACCACCTGCATTGTGTTCAAGGGCTCGAACATGGTCGGTGTTGTCAGACCAGCAGCCTCCTTGAGCAGGAAGCCAGGTAGCCCTCTTTGAAAGAGCCCTTGTGTCGAGCGGGGTGTCGCAGGGGAGCTCAGTGAGGCAGGTCGGAGCAGCTCTGGATACGGCGAGCAGAGACCCCAAAATAGGGAGGACAGATATTAATGAGCGCATATCGATTGTTGATCAGTTCGATTAAGGGAGATAGTAAACGAATGTGGGGGATGGTGTAGAGACCGTCGGGGCCTGTTCGAGCGGGGGAGCAAGAAGGCACGGATCGACTCTAACTAGTCTTCCCAATCATTTTATACCTCGAATCCCCAAGGCCCAGCCCTGACAGGAGCGGGAACCAATATTTTTCCACGAGACCGAGCGAGAGTGCTCAGGGTTATTTCAATCATATTTCTCGCTAAAGGAGGTGTCCTCCTTTGTACAGTGGCAGCTAGTGGCAGCTGCCAACTTTAATGGACGGGGAGTTTTTACAAATGTCTAGCGCGGCTGCCGTGTTGTAGACAGGAGATACCCGCATTTATCGAATTTTCTCTAGGGTCGTTCTCTTATTGATCCGTGTGATTGATCGCCTATAGTTAGGCTCGCATTTGGTCAGGGGAAAAGTTTGAGGTGGGTTGATGGAGGGTCGGCTGCTGCCAAACTGCGGAGATATACGTTTCAGAGTGACGAGTCTTTATTTAGGTCTTTTTTTTTCTTTTTTTTTTTTTTTTTTTTAATTCCAGTTTATTCTGCTATACCTTGTGGGTAATTTTACAGATAACTATCGTGTTTAAGAAAATGCATATCGAGGGTAAACTGCGTGTAAGGAAGCGGGGGTCTACCCAGGCTGCAGGCATTTCCTGTTTGGCACACCCTGCCACAACAATGCACAGCCTTTCCACTTGTTCTCGACCACCACTAGCCATGTCGAATGAGCCTCTACAGTACCCATTTATGTCTGTAATAAACTCTTTGAACTCCTATGGATTAACTCCAGCCAAGTTTTTTGAGCGACTCCTTACGATACGTGAGACAAGCCCCGCCGTTACAGCCAGAAGGGAGTTTCTCGCAGCCCTTCCTCAACTGCTGCAGCACGTAAAAACAAACCCAGCCTTGGAAGAATGGGCATTCGAAATCGTTCAAGAGAAATTTCGTCGAGAGATGTTAGCCCTTCGAGAGAAAAGTGCAGGGTTGCATGGGCTGCCAAAGCACACGAAAGCCAAAGACCTACGCTCTTTCGATCCATCTACGATCGTTTTCAAAGCACGAAGTCGAGCACCATGGCTCGTCAATCTGATTTCAACTCTATTACGCGTCACAGAGGGAAGAAAGCAGAGGAGTTTGACGATGGAGGTTGATAGCGACGAAGAAGACGAAGAAGAAGAAGAAGAAGAGAACTTCGATGAGCCTGTATACAATGATAGCACTCGGTCCACTCTTAAAAGGCTTCCCAAGTCGGAGCGAGTGTGGCACACTCATAATATTGTAGGTGCAGTCACGCGATAGTTACATTCATACTCAATATACCCACAGCGACTTGCTGCTATCATTGGTATCATGGTGTATACATCGAACTGTCGTGCAAATGCCTTCCAGACTTCAATAGGAGTCTTTATGCATGCCTGTCAAGTGCCGGTCCGTGTCCTCGGACTTCTTCACCGTCTTGGAATCATTATTTCGGAGCGTAGTATTGCTCGCTCATTAAATTCTGCTGGGAAGGACATAGCGCAAGAGCTCAAGGTCATATGCAGCAGCACTCCCATGGCCGTCGCGTTCGATAACTTCAACCTCAACTACAATGTTCGAGAACCCACACTCATCTCCAGCTCTACGTTCTCAAATCTCTCCAGTGCCATTGTCTTGGAGCTATATGGCTATACAGAAGAAGCCGTCACCAAGCGCCAACAACTCTATGATATGAGGCAAAGTTCTCAATGGAAAATGCCCACCTACTGGTCGCTCTTCAAAGCCCCATCACTGTTTGATGATGAGTTAAGCAGGGGAGGTCGAGTTTTTCGTGCCCTTCAATGGCATATCACTAGAATTTTGGCCGAAGGCATTCACGAGTTCAAATATCTCGCTGACCAGCTTGGAGACTCACCCGGAAAAGTCTTCCAAATCCCACTTCATACAACCCGATATTGGTCGATCCGTGCGATGCCATTTGACGAGTCAAAGACTGAAGGGGTTGCCTGTGTGTTGGATGAAGTCGATCGCCAACGCGGGTTCGATCATAAGAACGACAGGATACAACTCTACCACGGAGATCTCGCAACTCTGGAGAGAATGGCCGGTTTGCGGCAAGCTCGAGCCCAGGAGGAGCAAGATCTTCGAACCAAATGCCACTTTACGGAGGACATACCCAGGGCCTTTCATATGAAGATGGCAGCAGCTGACTCTATCCACCGCATTCATCTGGATGCCAAGGGCTCCCATTTGGCTACTGGCGGGGCTTATGAATGGGCACGGATTCTCCGTGATCATGACTATGGCAGGGTTGTGAACAGTAAGCCCGAGTTCCGGGATTTACACTCCTTCTTAAACCACACCCTCATATGCATAGTTCTGGACTGCTGGAGGATTGAATGCCCCTATGAGAACTTAGCGATATGGGCCGAAACAAAGCCGACATATGACAAAGTTCGGGAGTTCTCTGAGCGCATCTCCCATAAATATGTCTTCATGGGCAAGAAGAAGGCGACTGAGGATGCAATATTCGATAATCAATGTATACTACTTCGAGACCTCCTGTTCTACACAGAATTGTGCCATTCCATGAATACCGGTGACGTTGGACGTTTAGAAGATATACTCCCAACATGGATCTTCATCTGGAAGGGCACACGGAAGCACAAATATGCCACATACTTGCACCGTTTCCTCTACGACCTCGAGTATAACTACCCACCGGACCTTGCCCAATTAATCCGTCTCAACTGGCTAGTCAACCCAACAGGTAAACCCTTTGCCTTCCGTGGGGTGGACTGGGTTGTCGAACTCATTAACCTCTACATCAAAGTTGTATTTGGCTCTGACTCAAGCACAAAGAGCGTCGAGACAATCCTTCAAGGGTCTCAATTCATCGACTTGTACAAAGATATATTTGCTATGTTCGACAACAAGTTCTGGACTATGCATCGCACCTATCACCACTCACCACCGAATATTGGATCCCTCCTTCAAAAGTTGCAGGGTGTCATGCGTGACAAAGAGGTACATATCGAGAAAGCTCGTCAAGGTGATTTTCGAGTGATTGATGCGGTTTGGGTTGGATTGGAAAAGCTGAAAAGGATGACCAATGATGCCAGCGGTGGCGTTCAAGAAGAGGTGGTCGATACAAGAAGAGTAGCAGATGAGGAAAACAATGAAGGTAATGATACAGTGGTAGAGGGTAGCATGGAGAGGGACTTGGTTGAGGTGTATGCAACTTTGAGTGTCGACCTTTATTAGTAATTAATTGAGCAATAAAAATGCATTCTTGAGTCATAGGGGGCCATCGTTCTGAGTCCCAAAAACTTGCGGAAGCCGTGTTGACGACGTTGACCGTTCTAAATCGCTGGTTTTGTTTTCGTTCCCTATTTTGGTCAGCTTTCTCATCTGGATTGTTGCTTTTCTTTTTTCGGCACTAGCAGCTTTCTTCATTTGCGCTTTGTCGGCATCGTACTTCGGGCATAGAACAGTGTCCCCTGAATGGAATGTAATAAGGAAGTCCAGAAACTGGATGTTCACGTACGTTTATGGCCGAGTTCCCCACAATCACCACATTTGGGTTGAGCCCTAGCACTTTTTTTAGGTTCTCCACAGGCAACCAGACTCGAGCTTGCAACGGGTACTGTATTGACAGCTGGTGTATTAAAGGCTTCAATGATTTTGATCATTTCTTCCGTGTACCTGTAGGCAGGTTGTGTTCCAAGCCGATCAGTGATATCTCTCGCACTCCTTATGACCCCCATTCTTGCAAAGCATACAAGATCGGAGACTTCCTTGTCAGATAAGATCATTTCTCCAGTGAATAGTGGACCACCGAAATCCCGCTGATATACTTCCTCACGCCAAGTGACTAGTTTCTGCTGTAGTTCCAGCTCGGTGGGTGTGCCTTCAAAGGGGACTGGCTTCTGCACCCTCGCTGATCGGGCCGTCTCTTGGACTGGGTCGACAAACTTCACCAAGTCAAGAAGCTCGGGCTGGCAATTGTCACATGCTTGACAGTCATCTCCAACCTGTGGAGTCGAGCAACGAGCACAGTGCTGTTCATTGTACGCTATAGAGACAGTTAGATGTGGCGAAGAGATGAATTTCCACTTGCTAGCTTCTGCATTCTTGTAGTGTTCATTCAAGACATGCCGTCGACAGCCCTTTGTCCGTACAAATTCCAGTAAAGATTTGTCTACATCCTCTCCATTGATTTTCCTTGCGATCTCTTGAGGAGGTGCATGACTCCCATCTGTTGATTTGTTGACGTCTTGGGTCTCAATTGATGTCGCTTGGGCAGTCGTGTTCTGGGTTTTTCTTCGTTTTGTTGGACGTTGATCGTGTTGAGTAGCTGGTCGTTTACTTCGGTTCAGGAAGAAATCTGGTTCAACAAATACAATTCCATAGGAATTCATATCACTCCTTCCTGCTCGTCCTAAACGCTGAAGAGTTGTGGAAGTATGCGCTGACATCCGCCATTGAACAACATAGACGATGTCAGAGACATCTATTCCCTATTGAGGAGAGTTAGAGGCGAGTTCAAATGATATCGTCACCTACCATTGCAGCAACGTCAGTTACGCAGCCACCCCAAAGATATCCAGACTGTAATCTTTCCGCGAAGGATGCCTTATGTGGATCAGAACTACCAGCATGGAGCCAAGTGAGATGTCTTCTGAGGTGTGCAGGTAGGTGCTTCTGAAGAGCGATGGTTGCATCTTGTGCCTCCTTACGAGTATTGGTGAAGACGAGGAATTTCGGGGGTGGACAGCCTGTAGAAGCAGATTCACCAAGTAAAAAGACAAGGTCTTCGTACAGAGACAGTTTCCCTTTGATTTGCTTTACAATAAACTTGAGTTTTGGACGATCGTTGCTTAGCTTGACAACAAGTAAGTCTTCGTCAGGCAATTTCAATGTTTTGCGCAGATCCGAAGCTTCGTTTGGTGTCAGAGTCGCCGTTGTTAAATAGAATAGAGCCTTTGGGAAAGTGTAACGGAGGTGGTCGAGTTTGAGGTAAGCTGAGCGAAACCGAGACCCCCATTGCTTCAGGATGTGAACTTCATCGATGACAATGCGCGAGAGACGTGATTCAAATTCTTTGGATTCGAGGACTTTCTTAAAGGATGTGCCAACTAGTTGCTCTGGCGAAAGGCAGATCACCTGGTACTTCCCTTTCGCAATTTGCTTGAACCTTGTAAACAACAGAGAAAGATAAGCTTTAATAGACTATTTTGTTACCTCAATGAGTTCGAGGTTTGAGGTTTCTGCTGTCAAGGCTACCGACTTGATTCGTTTCGACGTGAGCAGGTCATTTATCTGTTTCGTGAGCAAGTTCAAGGGCGATACAACCAACGTGATCGATTTAGGTACAATAAATGTCGGTAAAAGGAGCGGTAGGGTCTTTCCTGCTCCGGTTGGAGCGATGCATATTACATGTTTTCGGTCGAATGCTTGTGCCTGCACAACCTGGAGCTGCCAGGGGCAAAGTCCGACGCCAAACGTTTCGCGAGCAACTTTAGAAATGGACGACTTTATGCGAGACATTTAGATACAGGATAGCATAAGAGACAGGGGTAGGTTTAAAGAAAGTGGCTTGTTTGGGCAGGGTAGTACCAAACAGGATATGCCTGCAGCGGTCCCTTTCAGGGACCCCTCCCTAACGGGAGGGAGCTCGGCCTTGGGTCGAGTGTGGCCCGAAAGAGTTGGACCGCTGTGGAGGAGCGTGAGAGAGAGTGTGTTTGGTTTGCCACCATGCCGATACATCAAATCAAGGATATCCATGGAGTCCGGACAGAGATTCTCTTACAGAAATATTCTGATCGTACAATGATATTGGTTACACAGATGGGAAAAGTCGGGTCCTTGGTATGTGCCTTCATTACGTATCCTACAACGCATCTCTGAATAATGGTCAACACACGATAGACTCAAGCTACTATACCAGCAACTGTTCCACTTCCAGAGATGCCCAATCGCTCTGAAGAAGGGCCCTCCCTCCGCGAGCCACCTGTCTCTATTGTACTCACTCCATTACTTGGGACAGCACCAAGCCCCCACCTTCAGGCAGTAACGGATATATATGTGTCTCAGATTGCGACCTTAGTTTGGTGCTCTAATCCAGCCTCAAGGCCACCAGTAATAGTAGGCTTCAACATGGTCAGACCCAAGCAAACAGAGGAAGAATCTACAAATGATATGGACCGCGAGAAATATCTATTAGTAATGAATACAATTTTGGAGATGTTGACCCAAGCCGAGCAGGAATCGTTTGGGAGCTAGTTATCCTTGTATCATAGGTCCTTTTCCGGGAAGGTACTTGAAAAGTTGCTTGGCGAACAGAGCTTCTAGATCATAAAGAACTCATAGCCGGATCGAAGGGTGCGCGCACTAGCATCATCTGAGGAAAGGCGGCCCGCGGCCAAGCAATATTTCATTGGTGTCTCCCAAGGTACCTTGTGATCTGCTGATATCGATAAAACGGCGATAAATACTACATAATTATCCGATTTCAGGCACAGCAACGTCCCACTCTCCTCGTATCTCACTATATAGTTGGTTAGGTACGGATATTGGGTTCACCAGTGACTTACTTTTTATACCGTTGGGCCCAAACAATCACAGCTGGTGCCAATACACTAAAGAATATGAGGAGGCTGAAGATGATCCACCCCGTCAAAGGAGAAAGGGTGCCCATGAGATAAATGGCTGTTGTTGATAGGATAATAGTCACTGTGACACGTATGACTGGTGGAGATAACTTAAGACGGGTTAGAAAAGAAATTGTCTCTACTATCGGGTGTGCTCACATGCAACTGCCGTCTAAGCAATGGAAAGAGAGCGAAGTCTTGAACAGAGAAGAGCATCAAGGCGAAAACGGAAAAGTCAGTGTTTAGCCTCGACGCAAGGACTACACTGGCTGATATGGCTGCGTTCATAGACAACACCGATGTCAACCTATAAAAGCAAATAGTTCAGTTAAATGCCTGGTGCAAGTGAGTAAAACTCACCTTTCACGTCCTTCACGGACTAGAGGAGTTGTATAGTCTGCTAGGAGAGTATGCAAAATAAAAAGAGAGAATGACAATGCCCAAATGGAGTCGGACGAGGTCGCCTCCGTCAACGTCTTTAAAACCGGAGCTAGTGCAACTAGTGCCATGAAAACGATGATAGACGAGCGAAATATTTTAGAGCCTATTAAATATATCAGATGGAGATTTAGAATGAAATGTGATCACCCACGTAGCTCCCTCCGGAGTGGCGTGTTCTGCATGAACAACGTAATCTCCCAGCTTATCCATCCCACAAAGAAGAGAAGGATAGAAAGCCAAATGATGATACGAGGGTCAGCGCTGTTCTCTTTGAGCCTTATGAATATTGCGAGAAATATAAAGATGCTGGCTACATGTTGGGAGACGGAGGTCGAAGCCAGTACTAGTGTAGGATATGTATATGGCGTGAAGTTTGCTAGAAAAGGTCTTAGAAGACACAGAACGCCGACTATGAGATACAGCTTACCATTCTTACGAAGAGAAGCCAAGAAATGTGGTTTAGAGACATAGTTATCTGGAAAAGGAAGTCTTTTCCATAATATCCGTTCCCATGGTTGAGCTTCAGAAGGTGCTGCAGTCATTCAGAGCCGTATGTCGAATCTTGTGTTGGCATGTGTCGAAGTGGCCGAGAGAGGAAACCTTTACCCCTTGCCTCCTCCACTCATTCCAATTATACCCTTTCATCCGATGCCTCAGCCGGCTGTAACAAATGTGGAGTATCTGACCCATGAAAATAAAGTATGGGCAGCCAAAAAGAGGCATAAAAAGGAACAAGTCAAGGAGATATTGTTCGATGAGAATGCCCGCAGGTAAGTGATCCCCTCCTGTTTATTCACAGACTTTATTGAAAAACTTTAGAGATTTTTTGACAGGATTTAGGAAACGAAAGCAAGCCCGTCAAGAAGCGGGAAAGGCAAAGGCATTAGAAAGGGAAAAGAATGAGCGGTTGGAAGCAAGAAGAGAGGTAATACGATGTTTTCTTTCTCTATATGTCGTTTGAGACTGACCAAATCTTCTCCAGAGGCGAAAAGAGCTGGCCGAGCGAGCTGCACAGAATGCCAAAGAAATCGAGCAAGCTTATGGTGGCTACGGGTCAGGTGCGGCTCGATTAACTATAATTCCTGGGATATGCACTAAATGACATTGCAGATGGGTCACAATCATCGACATCTGCTAACGAAGCAGCGGAACCGCAAGAGATGGAATTTGAAGGCGAAGAACAACTGGCCACCGTCACGATTGTAGAAGAGTTTGATGCGGATAACCTAAAAAACACATATCCCACGCATGTAAGGGATACGCACAAGTCCACAGCGCCGCCCAAACCTTCCAAAAAAACAAAGCTCAACGAAACACATCGACGAAAGGCGGAGATCAAACCAAAACCCAAATTCCGATACGAAACCAAAGCCGCAAGAAAACATGAGAAACAAAAACAGCGCGCTCGAAGAGAAGAAAAAGCCTCCCGAGGTCAGCGTACTAAAGGTCGACGGCGGTAATGCTAGCCGAGTTTCATTCCGTACTTGATATTACTCTCCGCCTTGATGACTCCAATTCAGTTTATGGGTTGAATTTACACAGGGAAATACGAGGCTAAGCTGTGAAAACGCGATGTATATTGGCGATGCAATTAAGACGTAGTCCCTGAGCTAATCATATAATGGATGAAATGAACGTGGAAACAAGGTAGAACAAATGCGATGGAAGTGGTCCGGGTGATACTGGGTGATGAGACATAATGTAAGTGACAGAATAAGATATGCAAAAAATCCATGATGATCACGTTTCACAAAATGTCCTAAACAAACCTTTGACTTGTGGGATGAGACCACACGATTCCAGTCCATGTGACTATACAATTGCATCAGTCCTTCCGAAACTTTGGGAATGAGGTCGACTAGAGTGACTGCCGGACAAGAGACCATGGGGAGATTTGGACCTAGATCGTTGATGACCTGAATTTGAAGAGCTCTGTTCTGTGGTAGGTTGTTGCTGAGTAGCGTCTTGATATCGTTTCCATTCCTGAACTTTATTGATGTTTGACAAAGGACGCGAAGTGTCTTGACCTTGGAGCGCAAATGCGCTCAATGACCTTGAATGTGGTCGCGAAGAGGACCGGGTGTGACCTTCTCTTTTATCGGGTACTTGTTCCTGCTCCTTTCGGTTCATAACATTGCGCTCTACCTGGACACTTCGCTCCCATCGTTTCCTTGCCGCAGCAATCTCAGCCTCTTCTTTCTCCTTTTTAGTGAGAGGATCTTGAAGAGCCTTAATTTTTTCCTTGTGCCTGGATTCAAGTTCTTCAAAGGTTCTAACAATAGGTTGGTTGGGCGAAGGCGATGGAGAGGATCTCTGTGGTGGGAGAATGAGGACCTGAGAGTTGGTACGGGTTCGTGAAGAGCCTTGTAGAAGGGAGTGGCTACTAGTGCGGCGACGATGAGAGAGGGGTTGGTCTTCCTCTGAATTACCATTGCCCAACATGACAGAGCTTGGTCTCGACTGGCGTCCCGAGGAACCACCTGCTGCTGCTTCGATATATGCATCGGGACCACCCAACTCATACGCCTTCTCCTGCTTCTTGCGTTGTTCGAGGGCTTCCGCAACTGCAAGGGGTACAGAAATGGACTGAGGGCGGGGTTGCTGAATTGGAGTTGCTGTGATGGGAGCCGTTACCCCGGATGGTGGTTGGAATAGATTTCTACTACGAACATAGTTGTCCCATTCAGTGAGAGCGGGAGTACTGGTCGGCCTTTGAGTTCGGTCTTCTTGAATGCCCAAACCCGAGTTGACCCCAAAAGAATCGAACTGGGATAAGGGGCGAGTGCCTGTCCTGCCGGGAGACCTTTGGCCTGGCTTCGGCTGAGTTGTGCCGGAGGACGCCAGGTTTTTGCTAGAGCTTGCCCCTGAGAACGAGCTGGGACGAGTACCATCACTCCGAAGGGCATTGATAGTGTTACGGATACCTTGAATCTCGTTGAGAAGACTGACTCTTTGTACAAGGTCTGTATCTTTTTTCTCCTCTTCGCTGAGCCGGATGTTTCCCTCTGCTGCTTTAAGGTCCTCCGGAATCGCCTTTTCTACCGACTCTCCTAGATCTAGGTTGATTTTTGGGGTAACTGGTTCCTCCTTGGGCGTGTTCTGGTTCGTGTTCGCGAGGTCGGCCATTGTGATTGAAGAACGTCGCTTGGCATGAGTGCGCGATGACTTGAAGAGGCTAAACTGCGATGAAGCTCTTGGGCTTTCTGGTGTCTGGGTTCGACTAGCCTCCAAGTCATCCTTGTTGGGATTCCGGCCGCCTTTGCCGTGTTCACGCTCCCAGTCTTCGAGTTCGCGATTGACAGCATCAAAGCGTGCAGCAGCTTTGGCTTCAACTTCAGCGTTGCGACGCTCTTGTTCAGCATTGATTTCTCGAAGTTTGGCTTGCAGTGCAATCAGGACGCGGGCTTGCACGGCCATCCCCATAATGGTAACTGCACCAATCATGCCGAGCTCAATTTGCATGGTTTGCGAGACGGGAAAATCCTTGTCAGCATATTTGGGGAATAGAGCACGGAAGCCTATATTGTAGAGATAGAACTCCTGCCAGGGCGTCAGTCGGTCGAATGTGATTGCGTCATAAGACTTGCCTTTAAGCCAGCCGTCGTATAGCAGTCTACACCAAGGATGAATGCGGTGGCACCCACCATTGCAGTAGCCGCCAAGAGCACATGATAGTGCCACTTGGGAATTGTGCAAACCACAAAACCAATGACAGCACAACCTGTGGAGTGTCAATTTGATATATAAGGAGAAGATGGCCGGTCCACACACTCTTTTCACCCTCATAACAAGTTCCGCCGGGTGTCGGACGCCTTCTTCAGTCACAGGCCTCGCCCCCCGGAATTCTCGAGAACCTTGAACCCGCTCACTACTTGTCCCAATGCGCGTTTTCCTGGTAGCACTCGTTTTGGCAGGATTATCTCTGCTAGTCGCTGCGCAAAATGCTACGACAACTATCACGACGACTGTCCCGGTCTCCACCATTTCCAGAGTCGTGTCCGCCAGTGGGAGTATCTCAACGTCATTTTCGACCGTCCTTGCAACAAGGACCACAGTCTCCGTCTTCCCTACGGCCACAGCTAGCGAAACGCCTTTACCCTCTGAAATAACGCTCGACACCAAGATTGGCCCCGCTTTTGGTGTGCTCGGTGCTGTGTTGATACTCACAGGTGAGGGGAATCGATCCCTTGGAGGTATGAGATTGCATCCACTCAACGGTATTCCTTAGGTCTTCCCAGTGCATTCTGGGGTCACAAGAACCGATGGTAAATGCTCGCTTTTGATTGCTGATATGTACGATACTCAAGCAGCTCTAGGTCATCCTTCTTCATCATTGGATTCTACACACTCGCCCTCGTCTGCGTCGTGCTCATACTACTGATCGGCCTTTGAGTTCGGTCTTCTTGAATGCCCAAACCCGAGTTGACCCCAAAAGAATCGAACTGGGATAAGGGGCGA